GTTAGAATTAACTGCAGCTAAATTTCCTGCATAGTTTGTGGTGTAGTGAGTGGCTATGGACAGTAAGTAAGTACAATAAGTTCCAACTACATCCAGCTGGAAATGATCCCAGAATTACGAAGAAGCAGGACCCTCAAAGATTTAAACCACACATAGGCTGAACTCACAAAGTTCGTTTAGTGTCAAATAAAGGCTTAGCAACTTTACTTGCATAATAAGAAAACTTTTGATAGGTTTTTTTTTTTTTTTTGCAGCTTAACATGTGCAAACCCAGCCAGTTTGGTTCTTCCAGTTAATTGATGTACATCCAGAAAAAGTCTGAATTCAGGAATCTTATCTTTTGTGCTCTGTATTACTGTTGTAAAATGCTTGCAGCTGGGAACCCAACACTTTTCAAATGACACACATTCAGAAAGCCCTACAGCAGGCCCATGGTGCCTCTGCCAGCAAAAACGGAGCTCAGGGAGGGGGCGTGTGCACCCCGGGCTCCATTTTCACTGGCAGGAGGCTAGGAAAACAAACTAAAAAACAAAACAAAAGGAGAAATGTTTCCCCTTTTGCATCTGAGCATGCAAGAAGGGACAGAAAAGGAGGAAGGGAAAGAGGAAAGACAAAGAAAAAGAAGGGAAGATGGGAAGAGAGCAGTGAAGGAAAAAAAAGGAAGGAAGGAAGGAAGGTTGATTAGGGGAATGGAGGCTAAAACATATGATGAAGGGTTACAGGAACTGGGCTTGGCTAGTTTAGTGAAGAGAAGGACCAGGGGAGACATGATAGCAGTCTTCCAATATTTGAGGGGCTGACACAGGGAGGAAGGGTTCAAGCTATTTTCTAAAGCATCTGTAGATCAGACAAGGTATGCTGTCCAGACAGTATATAGGTAATTGGGAATTGAGATAGTTAAGTTAGAATTGGGAGCTGTCCCCTTAAGGGAATGCCTCATGGTAAATGTAGTTAATGCATCATGGGAAATGTAGTTCATGTCATGTGGTCACATCTGTAATCCTGATTGGTCACTGAATTGACCCTTGGTTGGATTGGGGGAGTTTCCTTTACTCCTGCTTGGACCCCAGCAGCGCGCTGGTGTCTCACCCCTTTGCTCCATCGTTATGGGATGAAACATCATTATGCTTTTACACTATGAAGTCAGCTATGCAAAGATTTGGACATTAAGATGAATCTCAACATACCTGTGAGTTATACCTTGAGAGTGCCTTGTGACCCAATAAAGAAACTTTGTATGGAAGCCTTTGTAGAGTTTGGCCTTATATTTATATTCAGTCAGTAATTAAAGACAGAACACAAGGAATAATGGATGGAAACTGAACAAGGAGAGATTTAACCTGGAAATAAGGAGAAACTTTCTGACAGTGAGAACAATCGACCAAGGGAACAGAAATTGCCCTCGGAAGTTGTGGGAAGGAAGGAAAGGAAGGAAGGAAAATGAGAGTGAGGGAGGGTCTCAGGGAGGTCCTGCCTGAGCACTTGGCCACCACAGGTGCCCCCGACATGAGTCCCATGTCATGCCCACCATGGCCACACACTTCTTCCGGCCATGCCCCCGGCCCTCTGAGGTCAAGCAACCCCGAAGAATGAAATCGAGTTTGGCACATACTCGATATAGCAACTCACAATTCCTTTATCTGGGAACAGAAAAAAACATTCTTTTCTGTACCCGATGTGGCATGGATTCTTCCTTCTTGTGTACAGGTAGTACTCAACTTATGGCTACAATTGGAACCTGTTGTTAAGCAAGGGTCTTGTTACATGAGTGGCACCCAATTTTGTGACCTTTTTATTTTTGGCCATGGTTGTTAAGTGAACCTCTGCAGTTGCCGGGTGTATTATGTAGTCATTAAGTAAATCTGGCTTTCCCCCATTGACTTTACGCGTCAGAAGCCTGGCTGGGGAGGTTGTAAATTCTGCAGCTGTCAAAAATAAATGCCGGTTACCAAATTTTGATCATGGGACTGTGGGGATACTACAGTGGTCATAAGTGCAAGGAACACGTATAAACCACATTTTTCAGTGCCTGCGTCACTTTGAATGGTTGCTAATCAAATTGTGGTAAGTTGAAAGTATGCTGGTTGCTCAGTTGTACAACGTGGGTTGGGGTGACTTGTGTAATAGCAATAGCACTTAGGCTTATATACCGCTTTCCAGTGCTTTCCAGCCCTCTCTAAGCGGTTTACAGAGTCAGCCTATTTCCCCCAACAACCTGGGTCCTCATTTTACCCACTTCAGAAGGATGGAAGGCTGAGTCAACCTTGAGCCTGGTGGGATTTGAACTGCCAAATTGTAGGCAGCTGGCTGCAGCAGAAGTAGCTTGCAATACTCCACTCTAACCACTGCACCAGAGGCTCCTTAACTTAATAACTGCTGACATCAAAAAGACACAGATATTCGATAGGTGATGTGAGCTGCAACTTACGAAAGTCTATGCCTTTCATGTACCACTTTTTTGTTAAGTTGGAAAAGGAAATTACAGGGAAATGACCAGACTCCTAATGCATTTAAGTGCAATTTTCCTCTAGACAGTTTTTTTTGCAGAGAAGTACAGGTAGTCCTCAACTTACGACCTCAATTGAGCCCAACATTTCTGTTGTTAAGTGAGACATTCATTGAGCTTTGCCCCATTTTACAACCTTCCTTGCCACCGTTGTTAAGTGAATCCACTGCCATTGGCAAGTTAGTCACCCGGTTGTTAAGTGGATCCAGCTTCCCCGTTGACTTTGCTTCTCAGAAGGTCGCAAAAGGGGATCCCATGACCTTGGGGACAACAGGAAAGGTCATAAGTATGAACCGGTTGCTAAGCATCTGAATTTTAATCACATGCTGCAAGGGTTGTAAGTGTGAAAAACGGTCAGAAGTCACTTTTTTTTTCAGTGCCTTTGTAACGTTGAACAGTCACTAAATGAACTGTTGTAAGTCGAGGACTACCTGTTTATTTTCTTTTTCATGATATAAACCAGGGATCTCCAAACTTGGCAACTTTAAGACTTGTGGACTTCAACTCCCAGAATTCCCTAGCCAGCCATGCTGGCTGGAGAATTCTGGGAGTTGAAATCCACAAGTCTTAAAGCTGCCAAGTTTGGGGACCCCTGATATGAACTATAGATTGTTCCATCTCATGTTATATATTAACTCCTTCTTAACTGTGACAGAATGCCTCTCTTACTGGCAGTGTCTTCTTGCACTCTCCTGCTGCCTGTGCTATTCCCAGTTGCTCTAAATATTCTGCTAGTCTGAAGTTTTATTTTGAAAGGTTTTTCTTTAGCATGATTTTTATATACTGCCTCTTCATATATACAGGATTCATTTGATAGCCTGATACATTTTTACCATGTCTTATTCTTATCTAATCCAGCATTCTACTGTACTTCCCAATCATGGCCAGCCAGAAAGTCCACAAGACAAAAAAAAACCTTATCAGTTCCCACCATCAGATATGCTACCCTAAAACATGTGGTTCCAATTATTATAATGCCTCTTAGTCATTATAAACACCTTCACTTCACATGTGTACTTTATCTGTGCTATTTTTAAAATCTTTGTTCAAAGATAAGACAGGCATGAGACATCGCCGTGGCTGGATTTGTATTAAAAGAAAGATTACTGGAAACACAATGACTATATTTGCTCAGTGTGTGCGTGTATGTTAACATTTATTCATTTGAGAAATGTATATGCCTCCCCACACTTGAACACCGCAATTCTGGGGTGGTGTACAATAAACAAGATACAAAAATGAAATAATTTCAGTTAAAATTGGCATACAACCATTGATAGTGATTAAGGAATGACATTTATTATGATCCTGCAGGCATGAACTCATTCTGGCCCCAACACCTGAGCCAAAAAATGCTCTGTTATATCCTGTCTCTTTGGTTAGGTTTTGGCACAGTACATTCTGCTAACCCAGAACATGCATTGTTTGATAATCAGGCTAAACATGCTCTAACACATGTAGAGTAATTTACTCTAATAAGAAGTATTCAGATACAGGTAGTCCACAACTTATAACAGTTCGTTTAGTGACTGTTTGAAGTTACAATGGCAGTGAAAAAAGCAACTTAAGACCGTTTTTCACACTTAGCGACCGTTGCAAGTCCCAGTGGTGGGATACAAATAATTTAACAATCGGTTCTCTGCCCTAATGATTTCTTCCAACAACCAAGCTACTGTACACTCTTGAATGTGAATTATCAAACAAAATCAGCAACAATAAAAGATAAATATTAGATGGGTGGTTTTTGCTTTGTTTAAGACCAAGGACAAAACATAGCCTCAGAGTTGCTGGAGCAACTGCACCCAAGGAGCCTCGGTGGCACAGTGGTTAGAGCGCAGTACTGCAAGCTACTCCTACTGCAATTTGGCAGTTCAAATCCCACCAGGCTCAAGGTTGACTCAGCCTTCCATCCTTCCGAGGTGGGTAAAATGAGGAGCCAGATTGTTGGGGACAATAGTAAACCTGTAAACCGCTTTGAGAGGGCTGTAAAGCACTATAAAGCAGTATATAAGTCTAAGTGCTATTGCTATTCTGCTAGCGAGGCTCCTGGGAAACTTGATCCAGATCTGATCAGGTCGGTCAGTTGAAAAATATAGAGATAGTCCATATGATCACCACCACAGAGGCCAACATTTCCATTGTTAAGCAAGGTGGTGGTTAATCCCTGATTTTACTACCATTTTTTTCCCCACAGTTGTTAAGTGAGCCCAACTTCCCCCATTGACTTTGCTTGTTGGAATCTGGCTAGAAAGACTGCAGATAGCAGTCACGTGACCTGTTGGCTGCTGCAACCCTCGTAAATACCTGCAGGTTGCCCAGCACCCCAATTTGGATCACGTGACCCCGGAGATGCTGCTATGGTTGCAAGTGTGAGAGGACTGGCTGTAAGTAGCTTTTTTGGGTGCTGTTGTAACTCTGAACAGTCCCTGAACAAATGGATGTAAGTCAAGGACTACTATATCTTTACTGAAAATAGCAACGAGAGAGAGATTACCTTTAAAACATTATTTATTAGTCAGGTTTTATTTATTTTGGTTTTTTTTTTTTTGGAAAGCAGTTATTGTTCTTCTTTATAAAAAGTGTCCCATCCCAGTTACATCGAAGTGATTAAACATGGAAGATGTGGAGCAGGTTGGCTGGTCATGTACAGGGGTCCCTGGCCAGCCCGTTCATTGGGAGCTGGACGATGTCATGCCGGCGTCCACGTTAGGGATGGTACGGATGCTGTGGCCTGGCCGTGCTAATCCACCCGAGCCTGGCAGCCAGCAGAAGCTCCAGGATTAAGGCTAATCCCATTGGCACTGACAGCTTGGCCTGAACTGCTCCCCTCCAAACAGAGGCAGTGTGTTCAGGGGGAAGGGAGGAATGGCCTGGCATGGGGCTCACGGCAAAACAAGGGGTGTCCTCCCCCCCCCACACACTTAGATCCAAAGAGGAGCCAGCAGAGAGAGACCAGGGAAGAAGCAGGGCCAGCTGGCCGACGGCTCCTGGCCCCCCCCTCCCGCTTGTGGGGGGCAGGGCTCAGGAGTGGGTTTAAAGTGCTCAGGCCGCCCCCTCTGAAAGCAGCCCTCCTAGGCTGCAGCACCAAAGGGCCCCAGGGAGCTGAAGGCAGGGACGCTCCCTGTGGGATGGTTGTAGCACCAGTGAGAGGGAGAGGGGCCAGCCGGGGGTGGGGGTGGCAAGGCATGGGGCTGTGTTGGCAGCGGCGGTGGTGGAATCTCTGCTTTTCTCAGGGGTGGGGTGGGGTGAGGGTACATTCGAGACCAGGCAGTAGCACCAAAGTTCATGAGGTGAATGGTAGGCTGTCGGTCTGGGCTACTTCCTCTTCCGGCCGACTCCTCCTGAAATCAGAAGAGAGAGAGAGAGAGAGAAAGACAGAATGACCAAGCCGTCCAGCAGGTGGCTGATAGGGACCTAGGAGACTTGCCAATCCAGAAACAGGCCTGGGGATTCTAACCTTGGCTTGGGTGGATGCAACATTCTTAACCGGGTTTGTTGAAGGCCTTGTTATTTTATTTGGACATGTTCGACTTCTAATAGAAGAAAAATTATCTGTAGCTCAAGGCTGAACTGTGGCATTCTTGGTGCTCTCTGAACTTGGTTATTTGTTTGCAGGTATTTCCTCACCCAACTAAGTAGCTTCATCAGTGCCATAACCAAGCAACCGACCAAGCTAAGACCACCAAGAACTTCATGCATTCAGCTTTAATAACATCAATGTCCTTGGTTGTGTAGGTAGGTTAGTGTGATTTGTACAAACCCAACCCAGGCGATTTAGTTAACTGATGATTCTGGAATTTAAATAGCAAAACCATTAGGTACAAAGAGGAAGTTTGGTTTCAGATTTTGGTATTGAAACCTGTAGTAGACAGCTTTTATGTCATGGAATAGTACCTGGTAGAATCTGTTCTGGGCTTGGAAGCTAAGCAGGGTCAAACTCCCACCAGCTACTCCTGGACCTCTACTGAGGATCCCCAACAACTGCCTTCACTGGTTCAGATGACCATTACTGTTTTGGGAACAGGGTGCAGGTGGTGGTCAGGCATTCTCCAGCTAACTGGACAGGAGCACCAAATCCGTCCTGCGAGAATCAGATCAGCCACTCAGCTGCCCTGACATCTTGTTTCTGACTGGGAGATTGTGTGAAGGGCATGTTGAGTATTAGTCTTCTTCTTTCAACTCAGGGTCAAATTGTTGGGGGCAGACTATCTCTGAGCATGGCAGTTTTGGAAATAAAAAGAATCAGTAGCTCTCAATCAAGTTATCTTTCCAAACTATGGTGCCACTTACTTTTGTAGCCGAGTGCCCCCAGGGCTCCATAGGGCTTGGGAGGTTTACCTGTGTGTAGAGAGAGAAAAAAAAGAGGGAGGGTCATTCAAAGCTGGATAACCAGTTAACTTCTGGACAATCCTTTGCTCCCCTTCCTCCCCCTAAAGTACTGCTCTTACCTCCATAGCCAGGTACACCTCCACCTGTGTATCCTAAATGAGAGAGAAAATCTTGTTAGCATTGCCCCTTTTAGTCACACACACACCTTTCCCACTATGCTAAGAATTGCTCAGAGAAATGGGCCCATCTAAAACACTTCTTTGTCAGTGGCTGGATTCATGCATTGCAGTAAGCCATCATTTGCTGAACCATGGTGTGAAAAAGCAAATGGCTGGTTCATACAGCAAGAAAAAAAAAAGGGGAGAAACTGCAACATTTGCTCAATGAAAATGAAGTAGTTTCTGGCCCTATGAATTGAGGGAATGTAGCCAATTCTCTGGGGTGAACTAGCCATGGGTTTAAGAGAACATGATAGGAATACAGTAGTTGTTTCATCAACCCAGGTTTAATAGATTACGAGAAACCTGGCCATTATGCTTTGAGTGTTATATTGACTGGGCCAGTCTATTTTCTCTATTAATAACTCCTGGAAGGATTTTGAAGGGGCACTGCTCTGTTAATAACAAAAGATAATGTGATTGAAGTAGTATACACACTGGGTGAAAACCATCATTGAGCAATTGTTGCCCTCGGGACACAGGCTTGCTACTCTGGCCAGACAAAGATTATTCAGCCCAGAGCCCCTTCCTGCAATTGGGTCTGCCAGGACTTGAGGCTTTCCCTGGACAACATACCTGGGTAAATAGGAGATAATCCAAAGCCAGTGCCAGTTGCTGCAATAGAGGGGAACAGTTGGGAGAAAGCATAAAAAGACTTTGAGTGGACAAGCACAGAGGACACTTGATCCACACAGTTAAATGAAGTATTGGAGGACTGAGGCAGCCAATGATTATGCACATGTGTAAAGAGGACCTTTGCAGTTAGAATAACAAAAGCAGTATTCAAACAACCTACTGAAAGCTATGACTGATTGAGTTTCAGCTTTGTAGGCTGGTTTTATCCTTCCATGGGGTTAGTTTAGGCTACAGTTGTTTAGTGTGATTCCAAAAGCTTGGATTAGCTGAATAAATTGTGGTTAAGATAAGCTATAGATGAGCACATGCAAACCCAGCCGGTGTGCCCCCTGTCATCTTTGTGGAGTTTTTCCAGCCCACTCAACATCATGCAAGAGCAGCTGTGGGCCTGTCAAAGCTCCAGATCCCACTATCTAACATGCTATCTTTCGGTAGAACATTGACTCTTGAGTTCCGTTTCACTATACTCTCCACTCTCTGGCATATTATTTTATATAAACTTGGATATTTTTTTTCTCCTTCTAGTTAAAAGGAAAAGAGAGAGAGAGAAGTGCAGGAATTTGCTGGCCCTTAAGGAAACAATACACAAGATAATCCACTGTGTTGGAACAAATGTGGGAAGAGGGGAAGAGTTTGCAGGGTTTCTGAAGAGGCTCAATCTTTTTATCTCCATGGCTGAGAGTTGGGAGAAAGGAAAGACATTGCTCAATAATAGGAAAGAATGGTACTTTTCCTCTCTTGACTCAACAGCAATTAGAATACCAGCGCTGGAATCCACAGAAATAATAAAAGTAGCTCTTTAGAAGGGCAATCTCATGATTTAACTTTAATGTTTCTCAACTGTGACAATTTTAAGATGGGTGGACTTCCACTCCCAGAATCCCCCAGCCAGCAATCTTTAAGATGGGTGGACTTCGGCTCCCAGAATTCTCCAGCCACCATGTTTTAAGATGAATGGACTTTCTCCCAGAATTCCTGCCTGACTGGGGAATTCTGGGAACTGAAGTCCACCCACCTTAAAGCATACTGCTGGGGAATCCTGGAAGTTGAAATCCACCCATTCTAAAGTGGCTAAGGTTGAGAAATGCTGACTTAAAATAAGTACATTTCCAACTATCCATGCCTAGTGGAATGATTTATCCAGTTATAAAAGTGTAGGGTGAGGATAAATAGGAATGAGCTATTCTTGCAAAACCTCACATCTTTTGTGAACTTTGAACATGGACAACTTCTATGAGAAGAAAGTCATTTATGAGGATATTTCATTTTCTGTTGTTTGGAGATTTGGGAGTCACTTGAACTCTGACCCTCCTTTCTCTTCTGTACCCCATGCTTCCTCCCCTGTTGGTAGAAGTCCTATTTTCTTATTGCCTGGTTCAGGAGTTTACACCCTGGATACTGCAATCTTGGGCAACAGAGAAAGGAGAATCATTCCCCGCATGGCCATTTGGTTTAACTACCATAAGGTATTTTATTTGGGGCTGTTTTTGGAGAACATTCAGAAACTACAACTGGTCCAAAATGCAGTTGTCCAAATCCTTTTAAACTCTCAGTACTGGGAGCAAATGGTTTTGCTGACCTTGCATTGATTGCCAGTTGGTTTCCAGGTCCAATTTAAAATGCGGACCTATAAATCCCTTTACGGCTTGGTGCCTGGGTACCTCAAGGACCCCCTTCTCCCATCAGAATTGACCCATCCAATCAGATCTCCCATTTTCTTTTTTTTTTTGGAAAAATACTTTATTAGTTTTACCTTTAAAAGAACAACACAGCTACAAGTTATGCACAACAAAAAGACAAACAGGCCTTAGCATAGGCCAAGAGGGAAAGAGAGGAAAGCCTAAGAGAGGAAAAAGGGAAGAGTAAGGGAGGGAAAAGGTAGAGTAGGGAAAACAGTTAAAATAAAACCATATTTTGTGACTGTCTGTAAGATCTTTTCTTCTTCAAAAATATCGTCGGCGGTGCTTTTCATTATCTCTGCTTCGGAGGCCCTCGGCCATAATTTTCCTAGAGGTGTAGATCTCCCATTTTCAGGAGATTTTTGTATGTGTGTATGAGAGAGGAAGGTGGGGGGAAGGAAGGAGGGAGGGAGAGAGAGACACACACACACACACACAGAGAGAGAGAGAGAGAGAGAGAGAGAGAGAGAGAGAGGGAGGGAGAGGAAGAGAGACAGAGACAGAGAGAAGATAGGAGAGGCAGGCAGTGCTGCTTCTTTGTGGCAGTCCCAGCCTTGTGGATTGGCTCTATCTATATTGGTCTTTTGGAAACTTTTTAAAAACTGAATTGTTTCAGAAAACTTTCCCTTGATGTAAACTTTGCCATCTTTATTTCTATTTATGCTATTTGGAGGCTAAAACATATGAAGGAATTGGGTATGTCTAGTTTAATGGGGGGAAAAGACTGTGATTAACACGACAACAGTGTTCCATTATCTCAAGGGTTGCCACAAGGAAGAGGGGTCAGCTTATTCTCCAAAACAGCTGGAAGTAGAACAAGAAGCATTGGACAGAAATTAATCAAGGAGGGAATGACCTAGAAATGAGGAGAAATTTCCTGACATTTCAAACAATTAATCAGTGGAACAACTTCCCTCCAGGAGTTGTTGGTGCTCCATCACTGGAGGCTTTTAAGAAGAGACTGGACAGATCCTTGTCACAAATGGTATAAGGTCTCCAATTTGAGCAGGGGGTTAGACTAGAAGACCTCCAAGATCCCTTCCAACTCTTATTCTGGTATTTAGTTTTATTGTGTTTGTAGTTGTTTTATTCTATCCTGGATGTCTGTAATCTGAATGTGTTCTATTTAAGCCTCCTAGAGTCTCCTAGGATTGTAGCGTCATAGAAATATGTTAAATAAATAAAGATACTGTCACTTGAGGCTGGAGGCAGAGGTGAGCTCTACCTATGAGTGGATTAAGGCTGAAAGGCGATAAGGGAGAAAGATACCTTCCTCATTTGCTTAATAGTATTGCTCCAATTATTTTAGCTGGCTGAAAACCAGTTATGACTTGGCTGATCTTAGAAAACTGGTCAGTACGTGGATGGCAATTTCTTATTAATACCACGTTTATTCACTAGACCGGATTTTTTTTTAAAAGCAACTCTAGACAAGGCAGTGGCAAAACCATTTTATCACACTAAAAAAACTGCAAGGATATAATCATGAAGAACTGGACTTTTTTAAAAAAAACACCTTTGAATTGGTTGTATGGATGCATGAGGGTTAAGGTATTATGAAGGGGGAAAAATTATAGCCCTTTATGGTCATTCAGATTTCCTTCCTACATCCCGAATTAATATTTTTCTATTTTGCAATACAAGGAGCAAAGTTTAAGATCAGTCAAGGATAGATCTAAGCTTACAATGACCGTAAAATTGATAGCAGTGTTTAAAATATAGGGCATGCTAGCTGGGGAATTCTTGGGGTAGAAGTCCACGCATCTTAAAATTGTTAAGGTTGAGAAACACTGATGTAGCGTATTTCTACAAATTATTAATTAATTAATTAATTTATAATGATGGACCAAGTTGGAACAGGTGCATCCTCACATTTCCAATTTTGAAAAGATTCGACTGAGTTTCAGGATGATGCAGATGTGGCCACAATTCCCACCCTGAATTGCCCCCCCCCCCCCCCCCCCCCACCAGATGCCCCCTTGCCCACCCCGGATCACCCCACCCCCCCCCGCCCCCACCCCCGTAACCAGGTACGCCCAGTCCAGGGACTCCGTATCCTCCTCCAGAAAAAAAAAAAGCAGGGAAAAAAAAGAAAATCTCCATCAGAATCAAACCATATATCTAGTTGAAATGCAATATGGAATATTTGTCTTTCGGACTGACTGCACTTGCATCTAACCAGGAAGGATCTTGAAGAGAATCGATGCTATTTTGTGTGTGTGTGTAAAAAGGGATTGTGAATTTAAGCTATATTAAGAATTGCCAAACACTCAGTTTAAATCTTGGTGAATTAATCCAGAACTGAATGTAAATTTTTTAAGATGAATATGAATTGAAGAAGCCCACAAAGGACTACAGTACTAATATTATAAAAGGCATAAATTTTCCTGACCCTTCAGATGATTTGGATTTAAATTCCCATGTATTTCTTCCAGCAAAGCCAATGAAAAAAAACATGGGAATGTTGTAGTCCAAAATATCAAAGAGTTCCAGGTTAGGCCTTCTCAGGTCAGTACAGGTAATCCTAGCCTTACAACAGTTCATTAGTGACCGTTCAAAGTTACAACGGCACTGAAAAAAGTGAACTGATAATTATCAAAGCCTTATAGAAATCCTGAATGTGGCCTACCCACTTGTTGCTAGTTTTGAACATCCTAAAACCCAGTCTGCAGTGCAAGCGTGTCTTAAGAGAGGCCTCTTTTGGCCTTGGCTAATCCTAATTTAGACAGCAGAGTACTGGGCCCACTGTTCTATGGGATCGATTTGGTGATCCATTCTAGATGATCTGAGAAGAGCTACAGGGCAGTCTAAGAAACAATAGTTAACTTAATGGTGCAAAACAGAAATGTTGCAAATAATGGGAGATGATGAAGTCAAGGTCAGGGAGGTGATCAATACTCAAGATCAGGGGTGTGATCAATACTCAAGATCAGGGGTGGGATGCTACCAGTTCTGCCCGGTTCTAAAGAACCGGTAGCTCTGAAGAGCAGCAGACACTGAACCGGTTCTGTGTTTGATGCTGTTTGGCCCACCCGCCCGCCTGGGCTCTTACCTGTCCTTTATTTCCTGCTTTTTCAACCTCAGCTGCTTTGCGCGGCACAGCTGAGGTTGAAGAAGCAGGAAAAAAGTGGCTTTTCAAACCCTGCGCACCTGCGAGCAGCGCTTTTCAGCTGTTTGGGAGGCACAGCTTAAGTTTTTTTTACATCCGCGCGTAGCAAAACATAGTCACCGAACTGGTAGTAACACTGGTTGAATCCCACCTCTGCTCAAGATGATCATTTGAGTACCAAAACAAGACATTTGGCTCTGCCTCTACTTTGGGAATCGGTTCCTCCAATTAAGGAACAGACTTCCAGGATAGAGTTTGGGGAATAACCTGGGGAATAACACTGGGCCTTGCAGATCAGCTGGCAGACAGCTCAGCTGGGCCTAGAAAGCATTCTTCAAGTTTATAACAAGAGAACCTGATAGAGCAGGGCTGTGAAACTCGCAGCCCACGGGCCGGATGTGTCATGCGCTGGCCACGCCCACACCTGGTTTAGCAAAGGGGGAAAGAGTTCTGATAGTCACGTGATGCCGCCGTGACGACGTGAGTTTCACACCCCTGTGATAGAGCCTAAGTGCTTTCATTCATCACACCCTGCCAAACATCATCGTGTTGCATCCTTTTCACATATCAAGACAACTCTGCATATTCTGGAGTGTGAGAAAAGGAAACAGGGTCAGGAAGAATCCAGGCCCAGCCCCTATAGCTAAAGACGGAGCCATATACCTAGCTCAGCTCCAGCAGTTCCATACTCTGAACTTACCTGCCACACCAGTTCCACCCAATCCAGTACCTGGGACACCTGTCAAAGACAGGGAGCAAGTTTCAACGGTGAATCTATAGCAATTCTTTTCTCTCCCTGCAGACTGGAAGCTTCCCTCTACATCCGCTTTCCCATTTTTTTTTTTCACTCAAGGAGATGTTTTGTCCAGAGTTTGCTTTCCCTAATGCAGTTTTTCTTAACCTTGGAAATTTAAACTGTGTGGACTTCAGCTCCCAGAATTCTCCGGGAGCCTTGGCCAGGGAATTCTGGGAGTTGAAGTCCATACAGCTTAAAGATGAGAAAATCTGCCCTAATGGTCGTTCCGAGACAGTACAAGAAATTGGAGAACAACTATTTGGGAAGGTAAAGCCTTTGGCCTTTTGAGTCATGAGAATTGCCTCCAGATACATAAGAAAACAAAAAGCTGTGCAGGAACAGAAGGGGTTCTCTGGTGTGGCTTCCATTTGTTTCAGCGGGGCCTGTATCAGGTGAACATGTCAGTGGATAAGAAGCGCCATTTTGGATCAGCCCCATGCAGTTAATGTATGCAGAAATTGCATAAGCCAAAAATTACTTTATTCTATTTCTAGTTCTAAGTAACAGCAAAACAAAAATTAATTATTTTGCATCATCCTTTCACCCTTTGTGCTCCTTGGCCTTCTCGGAGTTAAATGTGCCACTCACTCCCAAATGGTTGTTTCTCTGGGCTGATTTATTTTGCACTCTCCCTCTCATTCTCTCTTTTTGTTGTGGTCCACTGGCGGCCTGTAGAGCTGGCAGCAGAATTGGACAGTGGGGAGGAACATGGGCGAGGCCTGGAGTCTGGGGAAGACTTGGACGAGGGATGTGCATCCAACACAGAGATGGAGCCAGGGCCATCTGAGAGTTATGTGCGGAGTCCGGGGCCTCCAGAATCTGACATCAGTGAGGCAGAGGAATAGGGGGAACCAGTTCCCAGTGTGCGCAGAGCTGCCAGAAGCTGCCAGAACAGTTAAGACAAAAGGGGCGACTTGGGAGTAAGGCTTGGAGATGATTGGCACCTCCCATAAGACATAAAGGAGGAGCAAAGGGACATGAACCGTTCTGGTCGGTTTAAAATCTGAAGCTCCATGTTGACTTTGTGCTCTGGCCTTGTACAGCTAATTGGCAATTTAGACGTTGGTAGTATTTCAAGGCAGGTGAAGGTAGGTGCTTATCAGCCTTCTCCCAAAAGACTGTGGCAGACTTCTGTTGGACTATTCATAAACTGTTTGGGACTCATTATGGGCTGTGAATTTTATTTTAACAGCGGTTGAAATAAAGCAAAAGGTTTTGGGGAACAGCGTGTGATTGTTACTGTCTCAGGAAGCCTTGGTCAGAACACTCTTTCTCTCTCTTTCATTTTTTTTCTTCCTTTCATAGTCATATCGGTCTATACCTATTTCGAGGAGTTAACATGATGAATTACAAGCATTTTTTAAAAAATTCTGCAGAGATACCGTATTTAGGTGGTTTGCCTCCTCCTTGTCCTCCAATTATGGGAATGCCTGTGAGAGAAGAGGAAATAATTCCCATCAGAAACCCATTGCCAGAGATAATTTTTGCCTGTCAAAATGGTAAATTGTGAGTAGGGCTGATTCTCTATGTCTAGGAAATTACTCCTGACTCAGGAAAATTGGAGGATTACAGGTAGTCCTTGATTTATAACCATTTTTAACAACAATTCAAAGTTGCAACGGTCTAGGATAATGTAACTTACAACCCATTCTCAAAATTACGACTTTCCCACTAGCCTTGCATTCACATAATTACAACTTGGATATGTGGCAACTCACTCTAATTTACAATGGTTGCAGTCTTGCAATCACACGATCCTGCTGTAAACTTTTCAACCAGTTTCTGACAAGCAAAGTCAATTGGGGAAGCCAAATTGGTTTAAAAACCTTGTCATTTGCTTAATGACCTTGTCATTCATTTAACAACCATGATAAAAATGGTCATAAATTTAGGTTTGGTCACATAATGACTCACTTAATAACTGCATCACTGAAATTCTAACTCCAATTGTGGTCAGAACCATGGTGGTGCAGTGGTTAGAATGCAGTATTGCAGGCTAATTCTGCCGACTGCCACCAGTTTGATTTGGACTGGCTTGAGGTTGACTCAGCCTTCCATACTTTCAGGGTTGGTAAAATGAGGACCCAGAATGTTGGGGGCAATATGCTGACTCTCTAAACCTCTTAGAGAGGGTAGTAAAGCACTCTGAAGAGGTATATAAGTCAAAATGCTATTGCTATGAGTTGAGGACAACCTGTACTCAAGGAAGAACAGACCTGCACCAGGAAGTCTGCCCCCAGGGACGACGCCACCTCCAGGCACAACACCACCTCCAGGCACAACACCACCTCCAGGAAGGACGCCACCTCCAGGAAGGACGCCACCTCCAGGAAGGACGCCACCTCCAGGCACAACACCACCTCCAGGAAGGACGCCACCTCCGGGCCTGAGACCTGTTGTACCACATATAATGAGTTGTATCTATTTATTTTTAAATTGAGGTGCAGACAGTGTTAAATAAGAAAAAAGACAAGATCAAATATTTCCCATTCTGTCCTTTCACCTGGTTTCACACAGGGGTGGGCTTCAAAAATTTCAGCAACGGGTTCTCTGCCTGGTTACTGGGTGGGTGTGGTCATGATGGGTGTGGCCTAGTCAGCCTCCTGCACCGCGGTAGCGGGGGGCATTTTCACCTTCCCTAGGCTCCGGAGGCTTTTGTCAAGCCTCTGGGATGGTGAAAACTGCCTTCCCTGGGCTCTGGAAGCCAGAAATGGGCCCGTTTCCAGACTTCTGAAATTTCCGGGATGCCCGTTTTTCCCCCTCCCCAAGCCTCCGTGTGGGCCCTGCACTTACCTTACATCCAAAATGGGTTGCGTGGAGACTCCTGGAAGGGGTGGGGTTGGAGGGGTGGGGTGGGCGGAGCTAGCCAGGGGTGGGATTTGATGGTTCACTGAACCAGCCATAATGTTAGCTACGGGTCCACCTGAACCCGGGCAAACCTGTAGCAGCCCACCTCTGGTATGGCGTAGGTGTTCTATTCCTGTTGGTCCCAGCTTAATAAGGATAATTTTTTTAAAAAATCCTAAAATGACAGTATATCTCCTTTGCTCTTGCTTTTAATTTCTTTGTGCCTTATCCCTCTGTGTAACTGATTCATACATGAATACTGATACTGTGTTAAAAAGCTGTGCTTTTCATGCAATCGTATTTCTGAAAGTTTTCTTTGCCTCATCTCATTCTGACTCAGACAGGCTGTCACTTGACATGGGCATTATCAGTGGGTTTGGTGTTTGTGCAGACCAGATTTTCCCACCTCTTCCTCCGCCAATGAAATATTGATCAACGAGAAACTTTCTGAGTGATGTAATATAGCTATCCCAAATCTAAAATATTCACGGGCAAGATATACAAGAGAGTGACTCCATACAAAAATTAAATTAAATTGACATTTAATTTCAATAAAATAACATGAATTAATTACCATTACAATTAATAATGTTCCCTGCCAGTCACTTCCAAAAGTAATAATTCAGTTGCAATTTTTAGATGGTTCTGGGAACCCCAGAAGTCACACGTAGCCATGTAAGAAATAGCCTTAAGGTATAGGGTATCAAACTAAATTCCTAATTTCTGCCTTGCCCAACTCAGAAATGGCACTGTGGAATAGAGCAGGGGTTGCCAACCTTTTGGACCTCAGGGAACACCAAACTCATAATTTTAAATCCCGCAGACCAGAGACCCTGGGAAAATCCCCAAAAAAGTCTGCAGGAAAATTCCCCACCCTGTTTTCCTACCGATCAATCATTGTTTATTTGGGATCGCAGGATACCGTCTCCAGCTCCGTTCTCAGGGGGAGAGAGAGAGAGACTTTTGGCTTCATGCAAGGAAAGCAGCAGAAGCAGCAAAAGCCTTTCTTTCTCTCCCCCAAACTCCACCAGAAATGAGTCTTTGTGAGATCTGTTGCGTTGGCGCAGCCTCTTGGAGGAGGATGCCTTGCAGGGTCCCAAAGACTCATTTCTGGTGGAGTTTGGGGGAGAGAAAGAAAGACTTTTGCTGCTTTCCTTGTGTGCAGCCAAAAGCAGAAGAAAGAAAAAAGCAGAAAGAAGCAGCCTGGTAGCCAGGCCAGGCACTTGGGGCAAGTGGGGCAAGTCCCCCCCTCCGCCCTTTCCCCCCTCCCCTCACTACTTCATGTTGTGCGCAATGCAAGAGACGCAAGCCTTGTGTTCCCGTGGGCCATGTGGGCGGCACAGACTTGTGTTCCCACGCAGCCTGGATTAATTGCTTTGGGGGGGGTGTGCTTTGGGGGTGACATTTCTCTGCGGATCACCAAAATTTTCTTGCGGACCACCAGTGGTCCCCGGCCCATTGGTTGGCTACCACTGGAATAGAGGAACCCATAATTGATCTTGGTAATTTGGCACTTATCCTGAAAAGGCACAGAGCCTTTTGTTAAATGGGCTACAAAGAGAGAACATTATATTTCCCAAGACAAGCTAGCTTAGGTAAGGATAGATGCAGATCAAACTCACCATATTTGGCTGCTTTAGCAGCTGCTTTTGCTGCTGCAGCTGCCCCAGGTACTAGGAGAAAGAAGAACAAAAGAATTAAGCGGTCAGAATGGGAGCAAAGTTCAGATCTCTAATATCTCATTAAGCAGCATTTCTCTCTCTTTTAATATAAGTTTTTATTTTATTTTTTAACAACAGATCCATCTTCCATTTAAACAGTGTGTCGACTGGATACAAACATTTTGTGCAACAATCGGTACATTACAATTATAATTATCTTACTATAATATCAATAACTATAGTTTTGCTCATTGACAATGGTGATGAGTGAACTGTTGGAAGATCTGGAAGAACCACATCTGTGTGGTTGCTAACAGTTGATACCAACTTGATGGCACATAATCAGTCAAAGCTGGCTTGGAATAGCAGCAGAAGGCAGCATCTGGAAGCATCTTATGGAACATGCACAATGGCTTTAGGGCAGGCAACATGATATTCTTTTCCTACCAAGTAGTAAAAACAGTAGGAAGCATGGCTATGTAAAAACACAGCAGAAGCAGCAGAGAACTTTTAATGCATTCATTTGGGATAGAATCGGCACTAAAACTCTGTCCCACTTTAAACAGACTGTTGGCTATGTTTTCGTCTTGACTTTGGTTTTGTCCTGTCTTGGTTTGATTTTGCTTTGCTTTGCTTTGGATTTCATTTTGTTTGGTTTTGGTTTTGTCAGGCAGATCTACCAGTCTTTTGAAACACCACTGAGCATGTATTTCATAACAGCACTGAAAAAAGGCTGAAAACAGGATCTTTGTCACTGATGGATCCCCGATTCCCCCCTCCCCCTATAAACCAGTGTTTCTAATTTCCCACAACACTTAAGAGATGCGGACTTCAAACTGGCTTGCTGGCTGGGAATTTCTGGAAGTTGAAGCCCATGCATTTTTAAATTGCTGAATGGACTAACAGTGCTATAAACAATCCCTCCCTTTCCTGGATTTCCTGCAGCAGTATTTGAAAATCAAAAGGTAATACAGAATATCGCTGCTTTGACGTGCAATACAGCTTGCCAAATACCCGAATAGGGTTTGCATTTCAGCATTTCTGAACGGGAAAATCGAAACAATCTTGGAGGGGGGGGGGGCTCAGTTGTGGAACTCTTTGCTCTTGAAGGCTTTCTTGACCCTCTACTACTAGCTCTGAGGAGGGTAGGCAAATGTTTGCTTATTGCCGGAAGTATTTCTGCTGCTGGGGAACTCATTGTTTTGTTCCTTGCCATTGTTAATTAAATTTGTAAGTGCATTTCAATGATTTAGCTTAGTTGCCTTGCATTATGAACTGATTAGAAATTCTGCGGTGTTCCCAAAGAAATACTAATTTGTCTGGGAATAATACAATAAATATACCGTGTTTCTCCAAAAAGACAACCCACCTTGAAAAGAAGCCCTATCACTTTTTGAGCGCATGAGATCAAATTAAGCCACAAAATTAGGGAGTGGGGTGAGGCATACAGGTAAAAAAATAAGCTAGGGTGGGGATGGTGGATGGTGGAGCTGCCCTACTTACCAGGCCTCGCACACCCTGACACATGCCTCACCTTCTTCTGTGGCCGCTTGCAGCCATTCGATCCAGAGCTCTGTTAGCGGCTGCAGAGAGCTTCCGGCAGGCATCTGAAGGTGAAACAGAGGCCGGAACGATGTGGTGCAAGTGGGGGCAAGCGGCCACAGAAGAAGTGGGCCAGCAGCGGGCTCCTGCCAGGTGGGGCTGTCGGTGCCACTGCCGCGAGGTGAGTCAATAATTAGAATCAGGGGTGGGATCTGACCGGAATAACAACTGGTTCAGGGAGCGCATGCATGTGCGCGCACACTACCAGCTCCAGCAAGCATTTACCTTCTCCAGCTGACGAGTGGCACTCAGCTGGGCCACACAAAGCAGCTGAGGAGGAAAACGCAGCCACTAAAGGACCAGCCTGGAGCCGAGGCAGCAGGTGGGCCAAACAGCAGACCAAAACCTTGTCCCAGCGAACCGGTTCGGTGTCAGCTGCTCTTTGGAGCTACCGGTTCTATAGAGCCGGACCGAACTGGTAGGATCCCATCCCTAGCCTAGCCCCTAGCCTAGCTGTTTTTTTCGGGAGATCAAAAGAAAATAAGACCCGACTTTCGTTTTTGGAGAAATACGGGTAGCTGGTATTAAATGTTGGCATATACAGTAGCATTACTTACCTCCACCTCTTGCGATTCCTCCAATGCCAGTCACAAGTCCATTAACAGCACCAGGTACTAGGCTGCCAACCCCTCCTCCAGGCACAAGTCCTCTTCCTCCACCTGCTCCTGCTTGGGCAAAGCAAACGTTGTAAGAAAGAGAAGGTTTTCTGTTCCACTGTGTAAGAGTTGAAGTTCTCCAAGGAGGATATTCAGTTCAAAACATGAAGCCTGGGTGCTTTGTGTTTTTCTCCGAGACACCACCACCCTTTTTCACTGTTTGCAGATGACTACTTGTATTCTTATTACGATGGTTTTTTTTTTTTTTTCATTTGCAAAATGAGGCCGCTCAATCATGCAGCATTTTTCTGCAATTGTTTGTTCCCCTCCAGAACTGTGCTGCTAAATGACGCAGTGGTATTCTCACGGGCAATTGCAGGCCTGTGTATTGAAGTAGGTATTTTTGCCCTTCTGCTATCACACCATCTTATGCAATTTCTCCAGCTGCAAAGGAAAGCCAGATCAAAGGTTGGGCACATCAACTACGCCCCAAACAATGCTTGAGGTGTGATCCTGACATATAAACCTATTATCTGCCACTTAAACCACTTGTGCTGTATTCCTGGAAATTCTACAGCAGAGGTCCCCAAACTTGGCAACTTTAAGACTTGTGGACTTCAACTCCCAGAGTTGAGCTATGCTGGCTGGGAGAATTCTGGGAGTTGAAGTCCACAAGTCTTAAAGTTGCCAAGTTTGGGGACCCCTGTTCTACACTGTAGGCCTAGAGCTTTTTATTTATAGCAGAAGAAAGCAGGTGTAGTGATGAAGGTTTTGGACTAGGACTGGGGAGATCCAGGTTCAAGTCCACCAAGAGCGGGTGATTTTGCCCTGGTGACTCAGACTAACCCTCTTTGGGGTTGTTGTTATGGCAATAAAATAAAGGGAGTTCCCCATGTAGCTTCCTTGAGCAATTGGAGGAAAGGGGGAATAAAAATCTTACTGGTTCGAGCAGTAATAATAACATGCATCAACCTATTTGCTGGTTTCATCATCTTGCTTTTGTCCCCTGGTAAAGTCCCAACTTTTGAGAAAGGTCTGGTGAATGTAGCTACACTTCTATGGCTGTATTCACACACACACACACACACACACACACACTTTTTAAAGCCTGTGGTTCTGCATGATATGCTGAGCCACCAATGATCAATTACTAAACGATGTTTAAAGAGAACCAAGGCCATGGATGGTGAGAGACTAAAAATAAAAATGTGAAGCACCTTTTCTGACTCATTGTTCTGACCCAAACCCTTTTCCAATAAAACAAACATGAACCAAAGGGAACAGAAACCTCTTAATGATTTTTATGAATCTCTGATTAAAAGGCTGCTGCAAATTAATTAACTTTGACAAGCACAAGCCTCGCCAAAACTGTGCGAGGCTGCCAAGAATAACAGATAAGAAATATTTTACAACACAAGAGTCTTCGAATACCAACTTAAGATACTGCAATGTCCACGAGGCTGGAGTTTCAAAATGTTTTTGCTTCCTACAAAGTCTGATTCACAGCTGGCTTTTATCTTCTTGAAGGAGGGGCCGTTATCTTGCAGCCTTACTCCCGAGTCACCCATACTGCTGCAGCTGCTCTTTCCTGCGAGCAATCCTGTGCGCACAAGCACTTGGCACAGGCTCCTCGGAACCTCCTCATCGCTGCTGCCAGTCCCTACAATCTCTGAAGGTAACAGCCCACTTCCTAATAGTCCTGGCCCCTCATCTGAGTCCTCACTTTCCTCAGCCATCTGCACCTGCTGCCAGCTAACCACAACGCTCATACAGTTGATTAGCAGGTACAAGCTTTTGTGAGCTGCATCAGAGGCTCTGTGCCTCTGATAATGTGCACGGCCATTCACAAAAGCCTATGCCTGTTAATAAACTTATTCAGAAAAGGTGCTACCAGATTCATCCTGATTTCCCCCACCCCCAAACACATAAACTAACATTCATACTGACGTGTATAACAGGAGATGGGAGGGGGATCTGGGACAGAGAACTCTCTTCAGATGCTATGTTCTCTCCAAAGGACACAGTCTCCTTAGAGCAGCAGCCCCCAACCTTTTGGGCACCAGGGACCAGTTCCATGGGGAGAGGTTTTCTCCACGGACCGGAGGGGTGTGGTTTTGCATGCTGCCTGCATCCCATGGATGGGGCTTTGCTTGTTTGTGCAGCCCAGTTTCTGACATGCCTTGGCTCATTGCTGGTCCACAGACTGGGGGTTGGGGACCCCAGCCTTAAAGCAGAGAGCTGAGTGGTCCCTTAGCCCCAGTACTTCTAACTCAGTGAACAGATTTTTCCCCTTAAGTGAGGAATGGACCGAGGCCCAGAAATATGGACTCTTTCATTTCTCCTTGTGTTTAGTGCTCCATTTGCTGTTTACTAATACTGTGCAGAATCAATATAAAAGTGAAAAGGGGACTTTTGGGGTATATTAGCACTCATGTGGCATCTGCTTGCAACTCTGCAAAGTTTAGGTGATGTCCTCTGTAGCTGCAGCAGGACTCTAAGGAAAGACACACTTGGTTTAAAGCAGGGGTGTCAAACTCGATTTCATTGAGGGCTGCATGAGGGTTGTGTTTGACCTCGGGGAGGGGAGGGGTGAGTGGGCGTGGCTGCGGTGGGCATGGCCAACTTGACGTCATTCATGTCGAAGGCGTCTGTGGTGGGCCAAGTGCTCTGCCAGCGAAAATGGGCTCCTGAGCTCTGTTTTCGGCCGCGACGGCCTCCTGCCGCCCTCAGCCAATGAAAATGGAGCTCGGCCCCCCTCCCTCGGAGCTCATTTTTACTGGCAGAGGGCGGCAGGAGGCCATTGTAGCTGAAAACATAGCCGTGTGTGGCCCTCCTGAACTCATTTTTGCTGGCAGAGGCACTGCGGGCTAGTCCTTTGCTGTTTTTAGGATGGCCCCATGGCCCAGATCTAAGCATCTTGTGGGCTGGCCCTGGGCCTTGAGTTTGACACCCCTAGTTTAAGGAGATGCAGACAAGTACTACAACATGCTTCTGTACTTCCTAATGTATCTTGTTGCCTCCAAATCTGAAATGCTGCAAAGCCCCAGTAGAAACTGTTAGTTGCCTATATTTACAATGCTGCTCTAAATTGTTGGATTGAAGCGACCTTACCATATTTTGCTGCCTTGGCAGCTGCTTTTAGAGCGGCTGCAGGACTTCCTGGAACTGCAAATATAAGAAAAATAAAGATGAGGTCTTTGGATCATCAACCCTTATTGTGCATAGTTCCCCAGTTCATGGCAGGATTGGGAATCACCTCAATGGTAGCCTAACTTCAGCTAAATAACCATGAAACCACACTGCAAACGGAATATGAGTCAGCAGGGTGGTGTAGCTGCCAAAAAGCCAAACAATTTTAGGCTTCATTAGTAAAGGTACAGTATCCAATATGTGGGAATAATACTCAGCTGTACCAATTGTAGGCACCAAAATTTAAGGAATCAGAGGATTCAGAATAGTTTCATAAAAGGTCAACTAAGATAATAACCTGAAACAAAGAGAGATTGAAGTAGTTAGACATGTTTAAGTCTTGTGAAAAAGAGCCTAGAGAGAAATATGGTACCATGCTTCAAATATCTAAAAAGCGGCCACATAGAAGAAAATTGGTAAAACTTATTATTTTATCATTACAGACTGCAGAGACATGGAATCATAAAGGAAGTCAGTTTCCAATTGAATATTGGAAAAACTTCCTAAGGGTAAGAACAGTTGAAGTGTGAAATGCTGACAGGCTTCCCTTCCCTGGATATATTCATCCAGAAACTGGATGCCCACCTTTTAAGAGACGCTTTAACTTGAATTTTTGCACTGAACAAGGATTATTTCATTCATGTATGGAAAAAACTTACATAGCTGCTCATCTGCCAGAATGAATTCTGGGTGGCAAACAGGGTACAATGCAATTCCAATACAACACCCCTCCTCCAATTTAACCTAAATGTTGATATGATCAAACCTGCATCCATAAATCCACCACCCCATGTTAGCTCCATTGGATCGTAGCTACAAAGCCTAGGGGGAAAGCCAGGTCTTCACTTCTTTCCTGAACCTGTATCTCTGGGGAAGGGGGTTCCGTAAAACAGGCATCATGACAGAGAAGGCATACTTCCAAATTCCCATCAAATTCGCACTGTCTCACTAAGGGTCAGGAGCTGGACTGAATGGCCTAAATATACAGAATGTTCCCCACTGTTGAGTTAAACTGCTAAACACCCACTCTAGAGCTGACACAAAATTGGTTGGTTGTGCTGGGTTGTAAGCCGCCTAGAGATGGCTCTTGGCAAGATGGGCAGCATAAAAATTCAGTTGGCAGTAATGCTGTGCTTTTATGTTTCCTACATACACAAGAACTTACCTAGTCCGCCAGGCACAACTCCGCCAGGCACAACTCCACCAGGTACAACTCCGCCAGGCACAACTCCGCCAGGCACAACTCCGCCAGGCACAACTCCGCCAGGTACAACTCCACCAGGCACAACTCCGCCAGGCACAACGCCTCCAGGTACAAGTCCTCCAGGCACAACTCCGCCAGGCCTAACTCCACCTGAGGGAAAAAAATATTGAAACAAATAGTCTGATTATATGGACCAATTTGTGTTTTTATCTTCTTTAGTAATATTTGTTGGATTAGGATGAGGTATCAAGTTTATAACTGATGAGTATTATTTCCTCATAAATGACTTAAATGAGGGAATAGAAGGGGAACTCATCAAATTTGCAGATGATGCTAAACTAGCAGGAATATCAAACACCTCAGAAGATAAATTCAGGATCCAAAAATATCTTGACAAACTTGAACAATGGGTCCTATCCAACAACATGAATTTTAATGTGGAGAAAAGCGAAGTTTTACATTCAGGCAGGAAAAGCCAAAGATATAAGTACAGATAAGGTGAGACCTGGCTCAGAAACAGTAACTGTGAGAGGGACCTTAGAGTCCTTGGTGGATGATCACTTGAATAAGAGCCAGCAGTGTGCAGCAGCTGCCAAAAAAGCTAATACAATCCTGGGTTGTATAAACAGAAGCATAGAATCAAAATCACGTGAAGTATTAGTACTGCTTTATAAAACCCTAGTAAGACCACACCAGGAATACTGCAACCAATTTTGGTCACCATACTACAAAAAAGATGTTGAGACCTTGGAAAAAGTTCAGAGAAGAGCAACTAAGATGATCAAAGGCTTGGAGACTAAAACCAGGGGTGGGATTCAATTTTTTTAACAACTGGTTCTGTGGGCGTGGCTTAGTTGGTGGGCATGGCTTGGTGGTCATGTGACTGGGTGGACGTGGCTTGGTGGTCATGTTATTGGCTGGGCGTGGTCAACTCAATATCACTCACATCGAGGCACCATCTCCTTGCCTGGCCTCTAATGACTGTGGGGATGCTGCAGAAGTCGTAAGTGTGAAAAACAGTAATAAGTCACTTTTTTCAGTGCCATTGTAACTTTGAATGGTCACTCCACACAAGCAAAGTACCAGCAAAGGAGGGGGAAAAAACTCCAGAGAAGTTCCAGAGACAGGAAGTCTAGTTCTGCCAAGAATGTAATAAGGGTTAATGGAGAGGCAGTTTCTGTAAGCAACACCAGAATGTTTCCTTCCTGCCTTCCTTACAGGATTAGGCCAGTAATTTCTTCTAACAACCGGTTCTCTGAACTGCTTGGAATGTTAACAACCAGTTCTAGCGAATAGGTGCAAACGGGTAGAATCCCACCCCTGACTAAAACATATGAAGAACGGCTGCAGGATTTGTGTTTGGCTAGCTTAAGGAAAAGAAGAATTAGAGGCGACATGATAGCAGTATTGTTAGGAATGTAAGTCACCTAACAGTTATTTGGGTTGGAAACATATAAAGCAGGACAGACATTTTAATACTGTTTCTTTAAGAGAATGCTAAAACTGTAATTGGGTGTGGTTTCTCAAATGGCCATAAGATGGAGCCAAAAACCTGGGTTGTTGAAGAGTGTCTCAGAAAGTCTCAGTGAGTATCTGTTCCTGTTCTGGTGTTTTCTGGAGAGTGTTGCCGTTCCTGTATTGACTGTTATTCTTGGATTTGATGTAAGTCTGTTACTGAACTGTTTTTGATACTGGACTTTGTTACTGGATTATCCCTGGACTGAAAAATGACTGCTTTAACCGTGAATGACTTGGACTGTGTTGAACTTTGCTTAACCGTTTTACTGGAAGTAAAAACCTACATTTTACTATACAATGTATCTGTGTGCTAGTTGTGTGTTATTCTTCACCACTCTCACTACCTCTCCCTATGCGCGCTCATTCTCCTAACGGGGAATTACCTCAACAAGCATTCCAGTATTTGAAGGGCTGTCATGATGAAGAGGGGGCCAAATTATTCTACAAAGTACCAGAGGGCAGGGCAAGAAACAAAGGTTGGAAATGAACCAAAGAGAGATGCAAGATGGAATTAAGGAAAAGCTTCCTAACAGTGAGGACAATTAACCAGTGGAATAGCTTCCCTTCAGAAATCGTGGGCGCTCCATCACTTTTAAGAAAAGACTTATCTGAAATAGTATAGGTTCTCCTGCTTGAGCAGGGGGCTGGACTAGAAGACCTCTAAAGTCCCTTCCAGATTCTATTCTATTCTATTCGTTTGCAAATTATCTCTGTGTCTACTTCTAAAGAGAAAAAAGGAATGGAATGTTCAAGTATTGAAAAACATCATTGAAGTGCCTCCCTCTGCCCAATTCCTTTTGCTGTAGGAGCAGAGTGCAATTCAGCAATCCAGCAGAATCTTGTATTATCTCCACAAAGATGCTGAGTTTGGTTTTGTGTGTCTGACAAATTTGATTCAGTATAAATGAGAAATACTGAATGAGAAATAATCAGAAGGCAAGATCCTAAAATCCACAACAGTGGTTTTCAAACTCAGCAACTGTAAAATGAATGGATTTCAACTCCCAGAATTCCCCAGCCACTGTGCTGGCTGGAGATTTTGGGGAGTTGAAGTTTTCACACCTTAAAAGTTGCCAAGTTTGAAGAGCATTAATCTACAAGGATGATAATTTTTGGCTTAGAAACAAAAACGGGATAAGGGCAGTGATAAACTGAGGGGGAAATTTGAGTGATAAATCTTTTTGATTATGCTTGAAGGATTGTTTTAGTGGGAAGAAGGTGAATGCATTTTGAAGCAATGACCTGGGCTCTCAGACAGGTGGGGGGTGGAATGAATAAACTTGATTCAGTAAAAGAATTATCTAATGACACAACATGTATATTAATGGTTTATATTAGGTCCAATGAAGATCTTGATTTTCAAAATAATTTAACATATATTTGTCCTACAGAGAGGCTTGCTTTTAAAATTAATATCTATGGATTTTTTTAATAATATTACATATAGAATATTTTGCCAGGCTCAAGGTATATAATTTAATTTGCCTCAGTCAGCAATTTATTTTGCATGCCATTCTGTATGTTTGCTGATGTCTGGCATTTTGAAATAGATTGTCATATCTTGCTATTCACAAACTCTGTTGCAATGAGAAAAGAAATAGGTTGCATTTTTACCATATGCTGCTGCTTTTGCTGCTGCCTTAGCTGCTGCTGCTGCTGCTGCTGCTCCTGCTAACCCAGTTCCTAATGTGCATAAAAACACAGTTAAGTTACAGGACAGAATCCATACTGGCATGGAGGTCTTCTGCATCTGGGACTACTGGAACCCCAGAAACTCCACCAATACCTGGGATGTTACTGACTCTACCTGGAACAACGCCGCCACCACCAGGGATGACGCCACCAGGGCCAACACCACCAGGGATGACGCCACCAGGGCCAACGCCACCAGGGATGACGCCACCAGGGCCAACGCCACCAGGGATGATGCCACCAGGGCCGACGCCACCAGGGATGACGCCACCAGGGCCAACGCCACCAGGGCCAACGCCACCAGGGATGATGCCACCAGGGCCAACGCCACCTGGAACCCGCCCTAGGAAAGAAATTATGAAATGGGAGTGAGGAACTTGGTGGAAACTCAGTTCAATTGCATTGGAAACGTAGCAGAAACTCAACTGGACGAAAACTTAGTGGGAACTCAAAGAAGATTCACCAAAGTCCTTGCTGCCTACCAGCCATACATACTCAGAAAATCCATGCGGCTTCAAAGTGGCTAATCATAAGGGCAGACTTGGGAGAGAACGCCCTGCATGCTACCATCTAATGACTACATTAGAGCAAAAAGAGTCTATATCAGTACCAAAGCACTAACCTATCCATGCTCATTTTGCAATCCTACCACATAAAGGATTCCATTCATATATATGCTTCCTCGTGCAGGCAATGACACAAAGTTTGAGGGAGGTTTCCCAGGCTGTGTTTGTTGGTTCATTACTCTGGTCCCTCAGATTCGTGGGGTGTACAGGCAGAAGTACCCTTTTTATAAATGACCTTCAATATGAGGAATTCTCTTCCATGACAGTTCTGCTTAGTCTCTCCCTCCCTGCCTCCCTCTTTGGTTTTTGGTTTTTCACTGATTCAAAAGATGTGTTCTATTCCTCAAGATTTTCACTGATCTCATTGCTGCCCTTTTATATAGTGTATGTGTCTGTTTGATGTATGAGCCTATTTGATACAGTGATTTAAACCAGTCACTTTCTCTCTGTCCTGGGGAGGTGAATTGTAGAGGTTCCTAAATAAAAATCCACACGACACCCCCAGATCACAGAAGTATCTCTGCGTATATAGCAACTACTTCCTGTGCAAGTAGACATAGGATATATTTGGGCATTCAATCAATCCCCATTTTGCCTTGAAAGCCTGAACCTTGCAACTTGCACATGTTAAGAAAGTCAATTTGATTTTCTAAATTTTCTTTTGCATAATTTATGGTTAGAGGGAGGGAAATTTCAAAGTATAATTTCTAGTTTTGTTTTGGCTAGATAACTAGGGGAAGTGTTAAGAAATACGTAATCAATTGAAAACTTTCCTGATTTCAAACATACTCTAAGGCAGGGGTCACCAACCTTTTGGACCTCAGAGATCACCAAACTCATAATTTTAAATCCCGCGGACCACTAATATGAATTTTGACTGACGGTGGTTTGTTGACATTGGTGGGAAAGTTAGTCCCATATTCCAGAGCTGCAGTAGTCACAGGACTGCCCCTTTGGTCAGCCCTTTGGTCATCCCAGAGCAGCTGCTCCTTCATCTGGATGCACTGGCCTGCCATGGACTGGAGGAGCTGCTCCGGGATGACCAAAGGGCCAGTCCTGTGACTACTGAAGCTCTGGAATATGGGACCAACTTTCCCACCAACGTCAGCAAGCTACCTGGGGCGGATTTCCCTCCTCCGCCATTGGTCTTACCTTCTAGTTCCAGCTCGCGTGGCTCTACTCAAGGTAAGGTTTGCGCTTGGCCGAAGGGTGGGGCCAGCGGGTAGGTGGGCCATGTGGGCGACAGAGCCTTGTGTGCTCACGCAGCCTGGATTAATTGCTTTGGGGGGAGTGCTTTGAGGGGGACATTTCTCTGCAGACCACCAAAATTTACTCGTGGACCACCAGTGGTCCCCAGACCACCGGTTGGCGACCATTGCTCTAAGGCACCAGCCATGCTGTATTAAATCTTGCTGCTGTCAGAAAGCAGAAACTCAAAATCTCCTATTTTCCCCCACCAAAATATCACAAATTTCTTTGCTCTATACTGTGCTGTACAGATTGGCATTTCTCAACCTCGTCATCTAAGATGCATGGATTTCAACTGCCAGATTTCACATCAGAGAGGGTGGGAAAACTGTATGTACGACAACATTGTTGTTTTCAGTAGTAGTTGTAACTTCATGCTGGGTTTACCCACCTGTCCTCTAGTTTCTGAGAGGTCACTAAGCACACTTACTAAGTGCAACTTTGTCCATCCCAGGGAAGTACTTTAATGGTAAGGGGGAAAGGGGGAAGGAGAAAGGAAGGGAGAGAAGAATGGAGGGCCCAATCCTACAATGCGCACTGCAATGATATCTACCTGCCTTGAGTTTGCTACAAATACCCCTCCCCCCAAAAATAAAGATATTTCGAATAATTGGGAGACATACCGTATTTTGCTGCTTTAGCGGCAGCAGCTGCTGCTACTGCTGGACTCACTCCTTGCAGATTCAAGCAAGAGAAGAAACAGGAGGTAGAGCTTAATAATAGAAACGTAATGCATTTCAAATATAGTCTTGCTGTGATAATAATGCAAAACTGCCATTATCCTCATTATAATCTTACCCTAATTTTAAGAAATAGTGGAAATGAACCTCTGGGGCCCAAGGGAAGGTGAGGAAACAATTTATTTTGAATTTTTTGCTGGCATCAGCAAAAGGTTAGTTGGTGATAGGCAGTTAAACCAGCGTGGATTGGTTAAAACCTGGAAGCTGTTCAGTTGCGTAAGGGAGTTGAGACCTTCCCTGCCTCTGCTTCTGATCAAGTTTAGCAATAGCAATTAGACTTATATACCGCTTCACAGCGCTTCACAGTCTCTCTAAGCAGTTTACAGAGTCAGCATTTTGCCCACAACAATCCGAGACCCTATTTTACCAAACGTGGAAGGATGGAAGGCTGAATCAACCTTCAGCCGGTCAGGATTGAGGGAATCGAACTCCTGGCAACGTGAGCAGAGCTATCTTGCAATGCTGCATTCTAACCACTGCACCACCATGGCTCTTTACTTCATGTCCAGAGCAGAGGTGGTATTCAGCAGGTTCTGACCAGTTCTGGAGAACCGGTAGTGGAAATTTTGAATAGTTCGGAGAACTGGCAAATACCACCTCTGACTGGCCCCCACCCCCATCTATTCTCTGCCTCCCGAGTCCCAGCTGATCGACTGGGTCTTCTTTTGTTGCCCTGCACAGGAGAATGGAGCTGGAAAGCAGGTTAGTGAGGTGGGGAGGGAATGGGGATTTTGCAGTATCCTTCCCTAGCCACGCCCACCAAGCCATGCCCATAGAAAACTAGTAATTTTTTTTGAATCCCAGCACTGGTCCAGGAACTCTTTTCATCAGACACCCAGTGAAAAGGAGGGGGTGGCAAAAGAGGAAGATGAGTTCCCTGGCTCATTTTGGTTCTGGCCCCCCATAACCACCAGATGATTCCCAAAAGGCTACATAGTCCCGTCCCCCTGCTTAGCATAGAACCTTAGCACTGGAGAGAAAAAAACCCCATACATGCTTTAAATTAAGGTGACCAACTTTTTTACAATGAGAAGGAGGACACAAATAAATTGAAGAGAAAAAATAAATAAAGCCACTTGCGCGTGGCACACTCTCTGAAAACAATTCTCCTGTGTGGAGCGCATGCGTCTCATAATCGTGTCTCACCGCACTGTACCGAGCCTTGACGAATCGCCATGTCAAATACAAATACGTCACATCACACACAACGGATCGGATCGGCATCGATCAAATACGGAGATTTACAGATTAGCCTTCAAATATCAAAAAGGAGGACATGTAGGAGGACACTTTTCGAGAGAGGACAGAACTTACAAAAGGAGGACTGTCCTCCCTAAAGGAGTACGGTTGGTCACCTCATTTAAATAAAATACAGCATTGTAATAAGTCAGGGATGTCAAATTCAAGGCCCAGGGCCTGGATCTGGCCTGCGGGGTGCTTAGATTTGGCCTGTGGGGCCACCCTGAAAATGACAAAAGCTCATGGTGTCTCTGCTAGGGAAAACAGAGCTCGGGAGGGCCATCCGTGGCCCTCCTGAGCTCCATTTTCGCTGGCAGAGGGTTGCAGGAGGCCATCGCAACCAAAAACAGAGTTCGGAAGCCCATTTTTACTGGCACAGCGCTTGGCCCACCAGAGGCGCCCCTGACATGACTGATGTTGAGCTGGCCATGCCCCTTGCCTACGGCCCCATGCCCCCCCCCGGTGATCAAACACAACCCTGATGTGGCCCTCAATGAAATCAAGTTTGACACCCCTGTAATAAGGTAAGCTTTTTACTGGTATCTTATTATTCTCTTTAGTGGCTATGGAATACAGGTAGTCCTCAACTTACAACAGTTCATTTAGTGACCGTTCGAAGTTACAACCATTGCAGCATGCCCATCGGTCACCTGATCAAAATTTGGAAGCTTGGCAACTAACTCATATTTATGGCGGTTGCAGTATGGTGGGATTCAGAAGTGGTATTCAGCAGGTTCTGACCAGTTCTGGAGAACTGGTAGCGGAAATTTTGATTAGTTCGGAGAACCGGCAAACCCCGCCTCTGACTGGAGATTTTACAGTATCCTTCCCCTGCCACGCCCACCAAGCCACGCCCACAGAACAGGTAGTAAAAAAAATTGAATCCCACTACTGGTGGGGTTCTGTGATCCCCTTTTGTGACCTTTTGGCAAGCAAAGTCAACGGGAAAGCCAGGTTCACTTAGCAACTGGGTGACTAATTTAACAATTGCAGCAATTCACTTAAGAACTGTGGCAAGAAAGGTCATAAAATGGGGCAAAAAGTCACTGAACAGATGTCTCATTTAGCCACAGAAATTTTGGGCTCAGTTGTGGTCGTAAGTCGAGGACTACCTGTATACGAATTCTCAAAGCTGTACTATTTACTTCATTCAAGTGCGATTTCATTCTTTCCTAGAAAATCACTGCTTCATGCTGTGGTAATTGTTCTGACCAAGGCTTCCTGAGACCGTAATTAAGCACACACTTAGTCCAAGCAACTCTTGTTTTATTTCAACGCTGGGAATTATGCTCATTCCCAGCCCGTAATGAGTCCCAAACAGTCCCTCGAGATAAGCACCCACCTTTATCCTTTGAATTGCTGCTGAATGAACTGTAAAAAACCAACCGAAGTACAAAATCCACACAGAGCTTCAAGGTTCAATCCAAACAGAGGGAACAACTTTGCTTCCTGCAAAAGGTTTCTCTACCTTTGCACTTCCTTTATACCTTAGGGGAGGGGAAATCATCTCCAAGCCTTACTCCCAAGTTGCCCCTTTTGTCTTAGCTGCTCTTGCCTTCTGGCAGCTCTGCGCACATGCACACTGGGAACAGGCTCCCCTTGTTCCTCGGCCTCGCTGCTGCCAGACTCCGGAGGCTCCGGAGTCAGCACATAACTCCCAGATGGCCCTGGCCTCATCTCTGCATCGGATGCAGGACCCTTGTCCGAGTCCTCCCAGACTCCCAGACTGATCCCTGTTCTTCCCCACTGCCTGATTCCGCTGCTGTCTGCACAGCTGCTGGCGAATCACAACAGTAATAAACAAATGTGATTATTCCAAAACGTGGTTTGTCATTTCCTTCTGATTCATTTGCTGTTACCTCATACGGGGACTTAGGTAAAGGTATCTTTCAAGTGTGCTGTATGTGAGTGTATACACTTCAGAGACACCAACAGGAAGCAAACCAGACACTAATCTTAAAATGAGGGCCGGTACTGCATTGCATGGAAATGGAATAATACAGAAAACGGGTGAGGTGTAATTTTAGCATTAAAACAAGAACAGGTAGGAGCAGAATGCCCTGTCATTCAATCCATCGTGTCGAAATGTTTTTAATTCTGTTCAACTTCATTTTCCACCACCCCAGAACTGGATTCAGAGGAAGGTCTTCCCACGCAGTCTGCTGTGTTTGCCAGCTGAGCCAATTAATTTCACACTCAGCTGCAGCCCATTTCAAAGCATAGATCTGCCAGGCCTTCCTTTGCTGCCCACTTTTAAAGCATGAGCAGGAGGTTTTCCAATTGGTGAAACTCTTCGCCTCACCTTGCCTCCCCACCTTGCCTCCCCACATAGGAACTAGAGCAGTGATGGCTAACCTATGACACGCGTGTCACTCGTGACACGCCGAGGCACTTTGACTGACACGCCTGTTGGTGTGGGGAAAACCTGCACATTTAGAGGCTGCCTGTGCTCTGCTCCAATCCCTGCTCCCTGCTTGTTGCGTGGAGGCGTGGTGTCACCGCTGCCGCAAGATCTTTGCAGCATTGAACCAGTTTTAACCGCCATAAACTGAGGTTTGTCAGTTTCATTACCTCAGGAACGCTACAGGAGGAAAGGAGATCCATGAGGTTCACAGCCCTGTAAGGTGGCCTTCCGATCCCCACATCCTGCACCTGCAGCCCTGAGACCAGGGAGACGAGTTTCACAGCCCTGTGTGATCACCCCAGCCCAGTCCATCATAAACCAAATTATTGATGTTTCTTGAAGTGACACACGACCCGAGGAAGGCTACACTTTTTCCCGATTTTCGACACACCAAGCTGAAAAGGTTAGCCATCACTGAACTAGAGTCAACAAAGCTTTCTGTCTGCAAATTTTATTTTATTTTTTCAAGTACCTTCAATTTAGCTCCCTCTAATATTGAGGTTGTTCAACTGGGCATATCCTGTGGTTTAGGGAGCAATTTGCTTGCTTCTGAGTGGAAGACTCCATTTGGGAAACTGCTACCTCCCTTCTTGCGTAAAATATAGTTTCTGTTTTTTGGGGGAGCGGGGGTGTTAATGACACAATTTGAGACTGGGAAAAAAATGGTAATTGGGTCAAACAGTTTAAGAACATTGTTCTTGTATCTAATGCTCAGGTATTTTTGCATAAAATTGGGCAAAGACACACAACCTTTGATGCGTGATCCTATTGTAAAATACAGCATGGACCAATTGCACTGTTTCCAAATAGAGGGGGGCAGTATTTATATAGTATCCACAGCAGAAAATATATGATGATAATTTATACTATTATTGTATTAGTTAAAGTTGAAGTTACAACTGCCAAAATATCTTAGGCAGATATTTACTCAAGCGAGATTCGAACAGCTCGACACAATGGTCAGATATGGGAGATTCCATTCTATACCCTAAAATGGACATCTCTGCATTTGCGGAGCGGCAGAGGTGGAAGACCTAGCTCACATCCTATTTGATTGTTGCCTGTATAAAAGTGTGAGAGACGGGTACCTTGGTGTATATACTAAATGAATGGCCCATTGGGATCCTCATATCAAAACAACTTACCTTATGTGCAGCCAGAATCTGAAAATAACATTTAACACAGCACAAGATTTAAGCAAAATGGTTCGGTTGAGATCTGCATATGCAGGGACTGATTGGGGTAGAATGTAGGGGCGATACCGAAATATAATTTTATCATATTTTATCTATATCTTAAATTATTGTTATTTTATTCCAATTTCATTTTAGACTGTATTTTATTCCAATTTCATTTCAAATTGTATTTTATCTAATTCCATTTTAAATTGCTTTTATTAAATTTTAGTAATAATTTGTTTCTGGAACTCTGCACTTTGATATAGCCCAAGGGCAAATCAATCAATCAATCAATCAGTCAATGTATTCCTTAAAGTAGTATTTCTTAATTTATTTTGATATAATTAATGTTCAGGAGTCAAAAAACAATCTGAAACTTCACGAAGGGGATAAGATGCTGAAGAGTTTGGCGACCCTCCGCTTACACAGTAGCTGCATTTGAGGGAAGGAGTTGAGGATGTCTGACTTTTCTGCTTTGGACTGAAAGGCTGCACAGCTCTACCTCCGAGAGTTTCCAATTCTTATCTGCCTATAGCAATGCAGGAAAAGGAAGTCCAAACGATTAAGAGTTCAACTGTTTTGCTCTTTTTTTTATTCCACTCAATGGGTTCCTGGGCAAGACAATCTGACTTTTTATTTTATTTTTCCCTTTTGCAAAGTATGGGGATATGGGAAGGGACTTTTATTACTCCAGTACCCATGGCATTGTGAAGCCAAACAATGTTCTTTGCACTCTCTTACTCAGCACCTGGAGAGAGAATCCAGATGGGGTCATGGGCTTTTCTAAAAGCACCTTCTCAGCTTTTTAAGATCAGCTGATAAACAACAGTCCCAAACTACTTATGAAGAGATGAGGAGCAGGGACTGAAGCAGGATGGAATTGACTTTGGTGTCAGACTGGAGGAAGGATAAATAAGGGGCAGGTGGGTTCAGGTCTTCTCCCTGTGTGGATGTTAAAATTAGGTTTCTGCTCCAGTTACTGTGACTGTGATTACATGGTGTTTGAGATTGATACTGCTGTTTGAGCAGATAGTCCCTGCCCTTGGTTCACACAGGCCACACAGGATGTATGTGTCTGCTAGTATTCTAGGAGCCGTGGTGGTGTAGTGGTTAGAATGCAGTATTGCAGGCAAACTCTGCTCATAACCAGCAGTTTGTTCCTGACTGGCTCAAGGTTGACTCAGCCTTCCATCCTTCCAAGATCCCAGATTGTTGGGGGCAATATGCTGACTCTGTAAACTGTTTAGAGAGGGCTGTAAAAGCACTATGAAGTGGTATATAAATCTAAGTGCTGTTGCTATTGCTGTTCTGCCCATTGGACCCCTACTTGGTGATATAACCAAAAAGCAGTGAATAGATATTAGTATGTTTGAAGCCAGTGAACAAGTATATAACTGAGAGCTGTTGGACTAAATGGGATTGACTATTTGGGATGCGGAAGCAAACCTTGATTTCATCTCCTCCTCTTTCTTTTCCCCATAACAACTTACCTCCTGCACCAACTCCTCCTGGGCCTACTCCAACTCCCGGAAGTCCACCAACACCAGGAAGACCAACACCACCAACTCCAGTTCCAGGGAATCCTGGAAAGCCAACGCCGACACCACCAACTCCAGTTCCAGGGATAGCTCTGCCACCTGCAATGAGAAAGAAAGTCATAAAGGGCACAAGCAAAACAGGCTGGAATTGGGAGAAGGGAGTCGTGAATCTCTTGAATGTTGGCCAACATTGGTCAAATACTGACCAATAGTTAGTATTAATTTATTAGAACAGCAGAGGAGCACAGAAAACATTAATTGCAGAAAAGTGCTTTTTTCAGAATCTTCCATTGATGGACAATAAAGAAATAAATACACACAAGGATATACACATACAATCAGCTATGAAAGGCTGGAAGGGTATGGTGATGGTAATCTCTATGGGTAGTTTACTAGTTTTGCAATCCTCAAATAAGAAAGAAATGGAAGGATTTGTGGGTGGGAGGCTAGAATAGCACAGTGGCTAAGATACTAACCTGTGATTTAGGAAATTTCCAGTTCACCTAAATTCAGAACTTTAGCCACTTGTTCATTGGGTCAGTCTTCCTGAGGCTGACATCATAACATATGCATAACTTTTAGAATAAGTATAATTCCATTCATCCATATTAACGTATTTACTATTAGCTGGGATTAATAGAGATTGTAGTCCAGCATACTCAGATTACATCAGGTTAACAAAGGCTATGCAGAACAAAAATGAAATCAAAACTTTCCTTAGATCAGCCATTTAAAGAAGCTCCAGGGGAGGAACTAAGACTCGACCAGGGACCTCATATTGTAGAATAGAATGGAATGGAATAGAAATATTCTTTATTGGCCTAGTGTGATTGGACACACAAGGAATTTGTCTCGGGTGCATAAGCTCTCAATGTACATACAAGCAACAAGTGATAAATCATGATCATAATCATAAAATACGATCATCATAATCATAAGATACAACATTCAGTGATAGTCATAGTGTACTAATTAAGCAATCAACATAAATCATAATAGGATACTAATAAGCAGATATGATATTATTATGTAGATGCCTGAGAAGCATTTTAGGCAGAATGTTTCACAATTAAAAGCGCCATCAGTGAGAAGCACGTTAGAAGAACCCATTGTTTAGATCAACACATTCTCCCTTCAGCCATAGTAATTATCCTGGTCTGTAACATTGAAGGTCTTTATATATATCATGCCAAAGTATAGCAGGTATATGTGTCCAGGTGGCTTCACTCCACTCTCCATCTGCCACATTCTACTCCAGTCGCATTGTAGGAATTGTGCCTCCCTCAGTGCATTATTGGGATTATGTGCCATTAAATCAATGTCCGCTCAGACTGACCTGATTTTCTCCAGGTGAATCTGTCCCCCAACCTGGTCCTTCAGGTCTTTCAAAGATTGCATTATAGTAGTCTAAACCAGGGGTCTCCAACCTTGGCAACTTTAAGACTTGTGGACTTCAACTGAATTGAAATCTGCAAATCTTAAAGTTGCCAAGGTTGGAGACCCCTGGTTTAAACATATGAGGATACCAGAGCACGAACTACTGTAACTAAGTTGTTTGTGTCCAGAAAAGAGTCAAAAGGTGGTAATAGGTGCTTCTAACTAAGATGGTTATTATCATCACCATCCATGAAAAGAATGGTGCCAAGAACAATTCAAAACTATGGTCTTTGTTTTTCTAGAGAATGGCAACTTTTCAGTTCAGGCAGTTTAAGTCCTATACCACAGAACCACCCATCCTCAATGCTATAATTATTGTAATAATAATAATATTATAAGAGAGAAAGTATGCTTTCAGCTGAGCTTGACTTTTAATGATGTCGTAGTTAGGTTTGTGAAATTTTCTTGGCAATTATCTGGAAGTGGTCACTATCATTGTCATCATGCAAGAAACTTTTATTTTAACTTCACAGTCTAACCACAGTGCTGGGATTTCCCATGTTAGTGCCAGCCACAACTTACTTCAGTTTCTGAGATCAAGAGTCGCTAACGGCTGCTATGTAGAAAGGACTTCTTTTGTAATGAATGCAATTGTATTAATTTTATAGTAATTATTTTATTTACTGCTGCAATAAGCAGTAATTGCAGCCTTTGCAACTGCCTAATTCAGGGATGGTGAGAATGTAATCATAAAATAAATATAATATTTTGTGAATGAACACTTAGCAATGCTGCTGAATCCCTAGACATGAAAACTTCCTGCTTCAAAGAAGATCTTTCATGATGTGAAGTCACTGCTTATTAAAAGCTGGTGATTTTAATACAATTTGTTGGTTGAAAAAAATGCTCCACGACTCCTTCTGATTATTATTTTTACTGTAAACGAACGTGGCTCTCCTCCTACAATATGTGGGGTGTATGTATGTGATGATTGCTGCTGCTGCTGCTGCAGGTGATGATGATGATGATAAAACTAGGCAAATCTCATAAGAGAATCTTCCTGTAATTCTAAATTAGCCATTCCCGATATCATACCTTCCTAATATTTATGAATCGGTCACACTGAATGTAGACTCCTGAGAGTCATAGGCTAAACCAGGGGTGTCCAACCTTGGAACTTTAAGACTTGTGGACTTCAACTCCCAGAATTCCTCAGCCAGCAAAGCTGGCTGAGGAATTCTGGGAGTTAAAGTCCACAAATCTTAAAGTTGCCAAGGTTGGACACCCCTGGGCTAAACAGTCCCTGTGATGCTCCTTCTACCTGCCACCTGAATAGTTCTTGACACATGAGGAGTGATTGATCATTGTATTGATCATATAATATATGTGGGTATATGCATATTTTTTTGTCATGTTTATGTAGTATATATTGGAGGAGATGACCCTTTGAGGGCTGTATACAATGAAATTTCATTTTAATGAATGCTGATTAGTGTACATTTAAAGTGACAATAATGTTATTCTAACTCTAAATCTATTGTACCCTCAAGCACCACACCCTGTGACTACCACAAGCCTGTTCGTCTATCTTCTTCTATTTTCCTCTGAGGAGCTGCCACAAAGAAGAGGGGGTCAATCTATTTTCCAGAGTATCAGAAGGCAGGATAAGAAACAATGGATGGAAACTAATCAAGAAGAGAAGCAACGTAGAATTAAGGATAAATTTTCTAACAGTGGGGGTAATTAACCAGTGGAACGGCTTGCCCTCAGAAGTTATTGGTGCTCCATCACTGGAGGATTTTAAGAAGAATTCAGACAGCCACTTGTGTGGAATGGTATAGGGTTTCCTGCTTGAGTAAGGGGTTGGACTAGAAGATCTCCAAGGTCCCTTCCAACTCTGTTCTTATTCTATTCTGTTATTTTAGGAAGTTCAAAACATTGCATGGAATGACATGCATGTTGTAGCCAGGATGATCCACTAGATGGCAGCCTCTTTCCTAGATGGCTCTATCACTGACAGGGGCCTGGATCATAGACATGGAAAAGAAAAGAGTGATGTTCAAGGTCAACTTCTGCTTTCAACTCATTTCATCCATCCCACCCATGCCTCACCTCCACTTCTGAAGTGAAACAAAGGTTGCCCATAGAAATCAATGGAAAAATCCAGACTTTTACTGCAACTGCCACTGGGTAGTTGACAGTGAATGGTTTCAACAAAAAAACTTTCCCATTCTTTCTGACACAGATCTTGGTTCATGTGTTTAAAAAAAAACATTAAGAAATGCAGTGAATCTGTGTGTAAAATAATGGAACAAAAGATGAGCACTATTTCATTCTCCCAGGTCTACACTGGAAATTATGGTTCTGCCTTTCTTGTAAAAACGATGTCTCAAAATCCAATGGAGAAATCAAGGGTGCTATTGTAACTAGGCAGCAGGACCTATCTAGCAACAACTCTCTCACTAAAAAGAAAAAATCCTTTCTTCTTTCTCCCAACATGTAAATAAAGGCCATATTCTTTCACTTCCTCCCCCAAAGGATAGTCCATAGAAAGAATGAAATTATACAGTATTGTAAGCTAACCTAAAAATATAATAATCTAACTTAAAAACCTAAAATTGGAAATCACTCCTTTAATTCTCTTTTCTTCGCACTCTTTTCCATTAATGTATTGCTTTTCTTTACTTTTCTACCTTTCAAAATGTAATGTTGTTTTTATTCTTTTCAATATTTAAGAAAAAAAATTATATACAGTTAAAAAAAAAGAATAGACCTGCACTGTGCCTGGAACATTCAACTTGTGTCTCTAATCAAGCCTAGATAATTCATCCTTTGTAAAGAATAGCAACTGCAGAGGCAGTAAAATCAGGGAAGGGAAGGAAGACTTTCTAAGCCAGGGGTCTCCAATCTTGGCAACTTTAAGCCTGGAGGACTTCAACTCCCAGACTTCCCCAGCCAGCTGGCTGGGGGAATTCTGGGAGTTGAAGTCTGCCAGGCTTAAAGTTGCCAAGTTTGGAGACCCCCGTTCTAAGCTAACATGTTGGATTTCAAGATAGTTCAGAACCCATCTTACACAATTGCTTCTGGCTTCTACTGGCAGCCCAGAAGCCACAGATGAGGCGTACCAAAGGAAAAACACATCAGAACTGGTGCCCCTGCCCCTTGATTTTAATGCAGGATGGACGTTTGGGCAGAAATTCAGGGACTGGAAAATAGCGCACAGTCTCACTATCTTGCTTGGTGAAACCAGACAGTGCTGTGGTTTCCTTAAATCCCTTCAACTGCTTGGCTCCCCATTGCCAGCTCGCTTCTTCAATAAAAAACAGATGGCAGGCTGAGGCAGTCCAGGAAAAAGTGGTAGCAAGCAATATACTACAATTCCTAAAGCTTTCTGGAGAGCAGATCAGGGCACCTGGGTAAGATGCTGTATTTAGAATCTAAAGAGGAGACGCTCAAAATCCATCCTATTTGATCCTACACTTTCTTATTTGAAGCTATTCATGTGATTTTCCTTCATCTCCCAGATTCTCCTCCTCTTCCTTTTTTGGAGAACACAAGAAGCAACCATCATCCTGGTCCCATACAGACAAGAGCAAAATTTGCCACCCAAAACCCAACAATCATATGAGATCACTCAGAGAGAGAAAGAGAGATTAGCTAGCTATTAAGTCTAAATAGAGAATTTGGAAGAGTTAACATGGTTTCTCCAGTATCTAAAAAAGGAGAACAGAGGTACATTTTTGAGGAAGAAGCAAGGGCTGAAGGCGGAATAAGAATTCCTTCTTCCTGTGCCTAGTTCCTCCATTTGCCACCGTATCCCCTGTATGGAGGCATTGTTACAGTCAATTCACAAAGCATCAGGTGAAAAGACTACAAAAGAGACACAGAAGAATTAGGCATCTCTCCATAATTACTCTGTCCAAACCGCACCTTTCTGCCAGTTTTTGTTAAAGCAGATGGCAGCATTTGGTTGACCTCAGCCAATCTCAATTGAGGCCTTTGAATTATGGTGCTGGAGAAGACTCCTGCAAGTCCCTTGGACTGCAAAAGCGATCAAACTGGTCAGTCCTAGAGGAGATCAACCCTGGCTGCTCTTTAGAAGGCCAGATCCTGAAGATGAAACTCAAATACTTTGGCCACCTAATGAGAAGGAAGGACTCACAGGAGAAGAGCCTAATGCTGGGAAAGATTGAGGGCAATAGAAGAACAGGACGACAGAGAATGAGGTGGCTGGATGGAGTCACTGAAGCAGTCAGTGTGAACTAAAATGGATTCCGAGGGATGGTAAAGGACAGGAAGGCCTGGAGGAACATTGTCCACGGGGTTGTGATGGGTCGGACACAATTTTGTGACTAACAACAACAACAAGCCAATCTCAAACAGGGTTGGGCCTGGTAAGAACTTAGATGGCCTGTCACAAGGAAATCCCAAAGTTGAAGATTGGACTAGGAAGTAAAAAGTCTCTTTGAGGGAGAATGGGCTGCTCAGAAATGTGAACAATAAATAAAGAAAAAGAAAAAAGAAGAAGAAAAGAAAAAAGTACCACTGGAAGATAAATGGTACATCATTTTCATTCTGTTTCCCAGATGCGTCCATGTAGTCAAAATGCATGAAGTCATGGATGTGTCCCTGAAGTCAAATTTAAGTTCAAAGCGAAGGAGAATTTCTTCGTCTCTCTCTCTGCCAATTCTAAGTTATTCCACAAAAGATTCTTGGTGCTTTATTTAATCTAGTCTGTACATTCTTTATCCTCCTAAATTTACTTCATCTTGAGTTCCAGTTTCAGTTCTAGTTCAAGCTCATCTAAAGAAGAGGAAGCAACTCACCGTAAGCTGCTGCTTTGGCAGCTGCTTTGGCAGCTATTGCTGCAGCTACTGGTCCACCGGCACCTGAAGGAAAGAAAAAGATGAGAGAAGCATACTCGTCTTATTACCTTTGGGGTGCTGATGCCAATAAGAACAGATGTTCCTACTATATCTGGATCATGGAGGGGTGGATTTGAGAAAGCCATGGCTGTGATAGTTGAAGTAACATGGTTGTGGGAGAGCACATTTAGTTGGGCTAAATGAGTCTTAAGTCTGCTTATCTTCCCATAGCCATATAAAACAGAGAGGTACCCAAAGTGTTGTTGGACCTTCAAATCCGATGACATAGGGTCCTCAGTGCTCCATACCCGACTGACCATAAGGGTCATGGAATGGAGAGGGAGAGTTAATGTTTAATGTGTCCCCCTCTTTATCACTTCATCTTCTCCTTGTTAATCTGCAGTCACTTCCATCTAACCTTTCTCCCAGGGACACAGGCATTACCTAGGACTTCTGTCCTAGTAGGATGCAGTTAGCTAGGTACTAGGCCTGGCCTATCCTTATCATGTACTTCCTGTAGTTTCAGTTATAATACCTGAGTCACTAATCATTGATCACATCATCTTGGGGCTCAGGAATGCCCATGTGCACTCACAGAATACTTCAACCACCACAAGGTTTATGAATCCAGGGTCTTTCTGCTGACTTCCAAGTCTATCGATGGGCTTATCCACTTCTGTGACTGGAACTTCAAGGCAAGGTGAGGATGGCTCCTAATGACTAGCTAGTCCTGGATCAGTTCAGATGCACTCTACTTTTTAAGGTCAGGGAAAGAGAAGCAATGGCCCTCTGATTTTGCTGGACATGCATCAGCCCCAGCCAAGGTGCCAAGGATAATGAAAGCTGGACATGGCCATCTTCTCCATAACTGACTTATAATATCTGGGAGTGAATAGGCCTCTGATAGAGAGAGGCTATATAGATCTTAGTTTCATTCATCTTAGCTTTATTGACATCATGGTAACCCATAATGAACTGTCCTTATTCTCAGGCAGTCATCCAGCAAGATGGATTTGATATATCATTCCAAATTACCTATTCCTCCTGGACCACCACCAGCACCGGGCAACAACCCTCCTCCACCAAGGGTCCCAGCTCCAGGCAAAAGTCCAGCGCCTTGTGAGAGAAAAGTAGGAATGCATATTGGCCAAAGTTCCTTGTACTTAGACACCCAGCAGAATGGAGGGCAAATATTTCTAATCCCATGACAATCCATCTAAGACATTTGATCCCCCAACCTCGAGTTACTGTGGATCTCAAGGCCTGGAAAAAAAAAAAGTTCTCTGCAGGATTGAACTTCATAGAAGCAACATCTCCATTTCTATAGACAAAAAAGTACTGTTAAGACACTTTATTCCAAACATTTTAATAATTAGAGCAAATATCCTTTAGGGGATGGAAGTTCAGTGACTTGTTTAATAGTGGATACCCTTGTATGATATTGTAAGTTCAAGAAAGTAAAACAAAGAAGAATAAAAAATAAAAATAATTTTAAAAAGGCTAAACTCATTAGATTCCATGGGATAACCTACAGATATTTGAGATTTAGCCATGTTTTTTTTTTTAAAGTTGCAATTTAACAATTATGATTAGGAGCTCTGGGGACTACAGAGGCTGCATAGGTTCTAAAACTATTTATTCACCCTGGAAATCCTGCAGAGTGGATTTTGAGCACATACTGCAAGAATGCTGGTGGTTCTTTTTGGCTTGTTACTTACCATATTTTGCGGCTGCCTTAGCAGCAGCGGCCTGAGCTCCTACACCTGCAGAAGAAAGCAGAAGGACATTGTTGTGGGGTTCGCTTTCATTTTATATTCTAGTGGCTTTCCCTGTCTGGTGCCCTGTCAGTAGAATATAAAATGAGAGCAAAACCTACTTCCTACTAGCACTGATGCATTACTAGTTTGGCAATGAAACGTCTGCAAGAAAACCATCAAGCTTAAAGAGCACCAAGGACACCTCAGTTCCTCTCTT